TGTCATGTTTCCTAGCTCTTCTCCTTTCCCTCTCTTGATTAGTTAGTCCTTGAGATCCTGCTTTCTTTTTATTGTATTATGCTTTTCTATTTGTATTTCTTCTTGTGAGTTCTTATATTAGAGAAACTATATGATATTTACACAAGTGTGTCTGGTTTATTTGATGTATGAGTATATGTTCAAGTGGCATCCCTTTCAATATAAAGGCTTCGAATTTCTCATTCTTAATAGCTGAATAATACTCCATTGTGTAAAATTACCACATCTGTTTCAACCATTCCTCAGGTGATGGGCATCTTGGTTGTTGCCAAGATTTGGCTATCACAAATTGTGCTGCTATAAACATAGGCACACATATATCCCTATGATATGATGTTTTCAGATCCTCTGGGAAAATTCCCAGTAGAGGAATAAGCTGGTTTAAATGGGATTTCCGGTCCAACTTTTCTAAGGAGTCTCCATACTGATTTCCATAATGGGTGTACCAGTCTACATTCCCACCAGTAGTGAAGAAGGGTTCCTTTTTCCCCAAAGCCTTTCCAACATTTGTTGTTGGTTGATTTCTTTATAATAGCTATTCTTTCTGGGGTGAGATGATATCTCAATGTTGTTTTATTCAGACAGATAGTGCGGTTAAGCTTAACAGCCTGGGTTGTATGGTAATAACAATAAACTTGTCTTCTGGATGGTTAACAATCTAAGTTAGCAGACCAAAATTAGAGAAAAAGGAGGGCCACAAGAAAAACCAACATTTTGGCCCTAGCCTTCCAATCTCAGTTAAGACTCAGTATATATGAGAACTTGTACTGTAACGTCATGTAACTCAGTAGTGTCCCAAATTTCTGATCAAGGAGAGTATAAGGCCAAAGAGGAAAGTGATCGATGATGTAGAGTATGCCTAAGGAGAGTCACACGCAGAGAAAATATTCTCTCAGGCATTCACAGAAAGCACATTGTTCAAGAAATGGCTGTGACTCATCCACATTGCTGACACTGGCAAATGTTCTATAATCTGAGGTACAGGATCTCAGGAGAAATCCTGAGGGGATTTCACTGAACTTTTCAGACCCAAAAGCTACAACTCTTGTTGCACAGGTCCTGCTTTACCTTGGTCTTAACCATCCAACAGAGTAGTGTAAAAATGAAATATAAGAAGTAAAGCCATGGTGTTATGTTGAGATGTAGGGGACTCAGGTCAACAATTTCTGACATTGTCAGTGAAGCGGAAGACCCAATAGTATTATGGACTACTGAACTCTTTTAGAATATTTAGCTGAGTTTACACACCTATAATATTTAAATGATGGAACTTATCAAAAAAATGGGATACAAATGAATGTCCATTTTTTATCTGTGTATTCAAAGTGGTTAGGATATATATATATATATATATATATATATATATATATATATATATTCTCTTAATGAATAGAGGGATTTTTTAATGGTGTTTGTAAATAGGATATCAAGTCTGCATCTTGTACAGCAATTAACCACAGGAAGAATGTATGCAATGTGTTAATTATTGAAACTGTCCTACCAGTTTGTTTTGTAACTGTCTCATTGCTATTTGTTTCTCAATAAAATTATGGGAAAAAAGAAAAACAACCAAAAAATATAATAATAGTAATAGGTTAGGATTCACATTTTTCCTGGAGTCTTGCCCCAAGCACTCTTCCTCTTGATTTCCCAGGCCCCCTGCCCCAAACTCTCTCAACCACGAAACTCTCCTTTGTTAACATTAAAAGTACTCCACAGACCAGGTAGTCCTGCCCAGACTAGCCCTCTCTCAGCTATTCCAGCCCACAATCACCCTCCCTAAAAGATCCTATAAAGTTTTCTGTCTCCCCTGCTGCCTTGGTCCTCTCTACAACCAGCCTGCTTGATTTCCCCAGTAACTCTTCTACTCACATCACAAAGCCTGGTTTGGTCTATTCTGTGGGTTCGTACCTAACAAATTCATTCACAGAAAAAGAGTTCCAAAATTGAAAATGGCAAGAATGATGGTATAAATAAGTCTGAAAATATTTTGAGGATAATTACTACCAATGTGCATTTTACTGTAATTGTTTATTAAAAACTTATTCACCACTAGCATCTGTTAGATCTGGATGGTTTACTATGCTATTTCCCCACTTTATAGTCTATATCATTGTTGCATCCTTATATTAAGATAGAGGCACTGAAATCACTAACTGTTGTTATGAAAATACTAATAGGTTTTAAATTATGCATTTTCTATGTTTTCTTGATCTGTAATGAGATAAATAATGTTTCTAGTTTTATATTCTCTGTCTTCACTAATATATAGACTGTTTCTCTTATGATATTTGTCTAAATTATTTTTCTCTTGGTGGTACTAAAGATAGATCCCAAGGCCATTACCCTGATCTCCATTCCTGGTCCTCTTTTAACTATGAAACGGGGCTGGCTGAATTTGTACTTTGCCAAGGCTGGGGGTGAGCTTGCCATCATCTTGCCCACATCTTCTAGAGTTGTGGACTGCCAGACAAGTGCCATCGCTACTGGATTAATTTCATATTCATACTTTAATATTGCTACCATTGGTCTCTTGGCTACTGTCACCAAGAAGCATATTTCTCTTTCAACCTATGTGTGTCCTTGATGTCTTCTGGAGAATATAAAATTGAGTAATTTTTGAAACATTTCTTGCAACCTTTCATGTTATGTTTAGAGAATCTAATTTATTTACATTAAAAATTAATGATGGGGAGCGAATTAATTTTGTTCTTCTATACTTTATTATAAGTTTTACTACATTATTTCTAGTAGAAATACATCCTATATTTCTATTACTTAATTTATATATATCTTATAGATCTTTGACCTTTATTTCCTACACTATTGCCTCTGTTAATTTTACTTTTTATCATGAAATATTTTAATTCTTTTAATTACTGTTACTGTTTTCTTTCTTGATACCTTGGTGATTCCACATATTTTCTTAAATTATAACTAACTTAAATTTTTTCCAATTTAATTTCAATCAAGTCAAAAGAATTGCTCATCTTTAGCTCTGTCTTATGCCTTTTAGTTTTTATAACACAAAATTCTAAATCTATGTGCTGTGCCCTAATATATCAGGTAGTAAATTTTTAATGACTAGTCTCTGAAATTTTAGAAAAACAAAATCTAAAGTTACAAACCAATGCCAAGATAAGAGAACATTTCAACCTTTTTTACTGCATTAACTTTTTAAATTCTGTGAAACAGTACATTTAAAACATTGTCAGCTGGGGAGATAGCTCAACAGCATATCATGCTGCTGGCAAGGCAAAGGCCTGCGTTCCTTCCCTGCAATCACTATATCTATATCTATATCTATATCTATATCTATATCTATATCTATATCTATATATATATATATATAATCTTTTATAATTATCAAAAAATTTAGTTCTACTTAAATTTAAACATTTTTTCTTTCTTTTATGTGTTTGATTGTTACAGGGTCTCACTATAGAGCTTGGATTCATGGTGATCCTCCTGCTTTCTGCCTCCCCCGCGCTGGGAGTACAGTGCACCACTACGCCCGGAATCTGTTGCTGGCTCAGCCCACCCTGGAGGTGGGGCTGGCACAGCATGTGGTGCTAGGGATTGGACCTCAGTCCCTGAGTTTGCCTAAGTAGGTGCATTAGTCCCCTGAGCTATCTCACTAGCCCAAATCTAAACATTTTAATATGGATGAAAGTTAATACTACTTTGCCTTCTTTCAAGACCCTAAACTCCTGTTAGCAACTCTTAATGTTTGGGTCTAGTAGTAATTTCCTCTGCTTTTATTTATCTCACAATGTTTCAGTATTTCCTTTAATTCTGAATGCAAATTTTGCCTCTGCATGTCTGTTTGGCTGACTATTTTGTTTTCCTTTTAACACACCTAGCTGTATCCATCCTACTGTCTTCTGGCCTTCAACATTTCTTTCTTTTTTTTTTTTTTTGGTGGAACTGGGGATTGAACGCAGGCCCTTGCGCTTGCCAGGGAAGCACTTCTTCTACTGAGCTGTCTCCCTGGCCCCAAGGCCTTCAGCATTTCTGATGATAAATCTGCTGATAATCTCATTAAGAGTCCCTTGCATAGGATAAATCCTTCTTTCATGCTGTTTTAAAATTTTTATCTTTGGGGCCAGGGAGATCTCAGTAGTTTAAGCATCTGTCTGGCAAGTGTGAGGTCCTGAGTTCAGATCCCCAGTACCAAAATAAATAAATAAATAAATAAATAAATAAATAAAATGTATTTTTGCCTCTGCCTTTTGATAGCCTTTTGATAGTTTGTTTATATTATACCTTGGTGTGGATATGTATGCATCATATTTGGACTTTGTTGAGCTTGGTATTTATCTTCTTGTCTTTCAAAAATTTAGAAAGATTTCACTCATTATTTCTTCAAGTCATCTCTCTTATCCTTTATATTATCTTTCTGACACTCCTAGAAGTGATATAATGATTTATCATTTGTTTCTTAGGCTATCTGCATTTTTAAGCAGGCTTTAAAACTAATTTTCCTGAGACTCAATGATTTGAATTGTTCAACTAATATTCACTTATTCTGATCCTTATTCACGTCTGTCATGCATCTTCAGTACTGCTTTATTTATAGCACTTTCATCTCTGTTTTCATTTAGTGTCTTTAAGTTAGGTATTGCTTTAAGGATGCTTTATTTTGCATGGTAATAAAAATTTATAAAGTGTGCAGCAATAGGACTAGCCTAAGCCCTAGTATCTTTGGGTCTCTTCTGGAATGTATTATTAACTAGTAGCTTAATCATATAGTATTTCACTAACCCAGTCTTTAAAATTATTGATAAAATAATACCAGCACCGTCTGATACATTAGATGCTGTGTTAGAATACTGCATGAAACCTGTGAAGGAACTTAGAGAACCTTTGAGTATAAAGGTGAGTTTTAATAAGAAGTGACTTCTGCACAGCTCTTCTATACAGATTGGTTGTATTTGACGCATGCCAATTCTTGTGCTTACCAGCTGCTGCCCCTGGACACCCCAGGCTGCGTACTGCAGAACGGAGTCCTCTACTTCTGGAGGATTTAACTCCCAAACTTCCCTTGAAAAAATGTGAATATTTTTACATGAGCAAAATTGATATCTGTACTAATAATTTATCTGCACAATGACTTATGAAAGGAAGAAAAGGAAACAACTTACCTCGTGTGTATGTTGTAAATCACATATGAAGCTGTATATGAATAATGAAAAATCTGCAATTAAAAAGAGAAAAATTATTGACTGTGCTTTGGGGAAAAAAGTCTTAATTTTTATATGTCTATGCATTTGTGATAAAATCAAGAAAGTTCAACCAGCCAGATAGCTCAGTGGACTAAAACACCTGCTTAGGCAGACACGGGGGCCAGGGTTCAATCCCTGGTGTGCTGTGTCAGCCCCACCCCCGGGGGTGCACTGGGAAAGTGACTGAGACTGGGTTTAGTGGCGCACGCCTATAATCCTAGCGCTTGGGAGGACAAAAACAAGCTGATCACTGAAAATACATGTACTGATGTTAAGAAGACATCAAAATATGAAACCTTCTAGTGTGAGAGTTTGCTGTGTCCTCTGTGAGTAACCACAGTGGTCTTTTAACCCTTCTTCAAGCCTTCAATCTCTCCCTTACTCAGTCTTTCTTATCCTAAATATAACTCTAATTAGATCATGTTCTCTCTTACAATTTTCCGTGACACTTCCCTGAAATGCAAAATAAAGACCAAACTGCTCTATTTGATGTTCTCAAACCATGGTACTTTTGGCTTTTATAAGTTTTCTACCCTTCCTACCTCTTATCTCACTTGATCTCATTTATACTGTAAGCAAATTAGGTGAATTGTTTCTGTATATGCTGACCGTTTACCATGGCTGCCTCCAACGTCCTGCAGTGACCCTCTACATTATTCAAGGTGGAAAGTGTCCTTAGGTCTACACAGCCACTGCATGGAGGTAAGGATTCCCTCTGCGATCCATCTTTTTTACAATTTACTGTGCAGCTCTTGGGCTGCTTCAACTTCTGCAGTATAAATTATGAAAACAGTAAGTATGATTCCTTTCTCCACTAGACCGCTGTCAAGTACAGGTATCTGTTACCTTTGTATCCTCCACATAACTGAGCACATGTCATGTCTACATGCAATGCTACATTAATTTGTTAAATCATGGTCCTGATTGGGAAAAAAAAGTCTATGTTGAAGTGTTTGTTGGTGAAGGTAATGTGGGATATTATACCCACGCTTTCATACTAATAGTTGAAAATGGCTCATTAAATAGTTGATTGAAAGTCAAGCATCTTCAAGATATGTAATTACCATCTTTGAAGAATCCTGTTTCTTTTAAAAGGTTACTTCCTCGAAGACAATAACACTCATGACAGAGGGACAAAATCTCAAATGGGACTACAGTGAATAAGGCAAGAATATTATATATATTTTTTTCTTACCAGCTAGATTTAACATAGTAGAATAATGTAGAAGATATAAGAAAAATGCAAAAGTGAGGTGAAGTAAATAAATGGCATGTTACTCTTTAGTGAAAATTATTTTTTCTCATAAGCTCTGTGATTCTAGTGAAAGTGGTTTTTTTTGTTGCTTAGTTATATTGTTTTATTATCACTTTCAGGATATATTGGATGCTTTTATGTTTCTGTATTCAATTAAAAATCCTCTGGCGTATGTACCTGGTACAAATACAATACTGTCAATCATTGAGAAGTCTGTTATTTTTTCTTGTTGTTACAGTATCTTCCATTAAACAAGACTGGCTACCTATTTTGTGAAGTTATATTAGTGTTCTCACTTCCCACTGAAATTTCAAAAAAAATTCCCATTTGTTACAGTATTGTGTTTTATGATCAATCTTTGTTCTTCCCTTCATTTTGGAATAACTTATATTGAAGATTGCGCTCACCTTAGTATTATAGTAAGAACATGTTTTCCTGGTGTTTACCTTGAGATTCACATTGAATTCTATAAAATCTCGTACCTTACTATCACTGTTGAACCTTGCACATACTAGGATAGCTGACAAGGAGATGAGACAAGTGTTTACCACAGTCAATTCTTTTTTCTCTCAGAAAGTTTTGTGGCCAAAGCAAGCTGCCAGATAAACACTTGGTCTTCAAAGCAGATAAATGAGTCAGTGAGTGCATAGAATCTATTCATCCCATCAAGTAATCAACTAATGCACTATCCCTGATTGCTAGGTGCATGTCTACTTTCAGAGAAAAGATACAGTGCTCTATTGCTTTGGGGAAAGCAGACCACCAAGTGGTCAGTGAGACATAATGAAGTATACCATATGAATACTGGTCTTCTGAAATATTTCTTATGGAGATTTCTAAATCTTCTCTATGGGTAAATCTAAAGTATCTAGATTCCTTCAGATGGAGTGAATTAGGGAAAATACAAATCTGTTTCTGTTTTGTGGTTTTAATTTTGCCTGTTACTACATTTGTTTCAATGAATGTACTAAGAAAGAAGATCACAATCAATAAAATAACTCTGACTGACTTCCAAACTTAGGGAAGGTTGAAATAATAAGTTATAAGATATTGGTCTTGTGTGCTTATGCACACAAAGCCAGCACTTTTCCCTCCATGGAGAGTTAAGATCTAGTCTTTACTCATCTTACAGATCTTTTCTTTAAAGTCACAGTCTTTTGTTGTGGGTCTCAGCAGAACCCAAATGCTTCATTGTTTACAGCTTTCCATAATTAAAATAAAACCCTGTCCCCCCAATAGAGTAAAAGAATATGGAATCGGAATGGATGTTGGGGAGAGTTATAAGACATTTATTTCTTTTTTCCCCTTTTCTATTTATTTCTTTTTTTCCCTTTTCTATTGATGGTATGATGTTGGAGAAATTGTTTAAAAAAATTCAATGACTATGGTTCTGTAGTAATAAATTAGGCTATAATATACTGTGAATTAATCTCCCCATTCCAAGGGTAGGATTTCTAATATTTTTGGTATATGTGCTGCTGAAGTGAGAAGAAGGATTTCTAACATATTTAACAATCCTCTTCTTTATGCTTTGGTCTCCCTTCCTGCATTGGCTGGTCAAAGCTTATTTCAGGGTGTGGAAGTCATAGTATCTTTTTAATGTGAGGGTAATAGTATCTTAAATTTAGGAACAATATGCCCTTTCCCTGTAATGATTGACTGCTTCTTAATGAAAGTCAAACTGTTCTTTGATGAGATTCTTGTTGACAAACACTCATAACCAAAAATTGCTTATTTATCCATCTCTGTAAATGATGTTCCACTAATTGTCACCAAGTGCAGAAAGAGAGAATGCAGCATGAAGGGATGGAATTATGATTCATCATATAAAATGTGATCAAAGTTTATGCCCAGAAGTGCATCATAAGGAGCACAGTCATCCAATCTTGGAATAGAGGACAGTATGTGGAGGCTCAGAGAGTAGCTAGAGAACATGTTATCCAAACTGAACCACATAACCTTTACATTGCATTGTAGTTCCTAAGACAAGGCTAACTATTGAGAGTTGACTGCAGTTGACTGAATATATATATATATATATATATATATATATATAATCTTTGTAAACACAATTCAAGAAAATAATGAAGCATCACTCTTGGGAAAAAAAAAGAGAATTAGATTATTTTGATCAATTGATCATTCATTTTCATCAATCAATACACAGCTTCATATCCTATTTATATAATACTGTATTTAATTCAAGCTGGACTCATGAGCAGTAACACTATAACTCATGTTCGTATGAAACTAATATAATATACCATAAAAAGCATCCGGCTGGGGAAATGGCTCAGTAGAATTAGTGCTTCCCTGGCAAGCACAAGGGCCTGAGTTCAATCCCTGGTTCTGAAAAAAAAAAAAAAAAAAAAAAAAAAAAAAAAAAAAAAAAAGCATCACAGCAACAAGTTGAGCTGCCACACTCTGTTTGGGTATTAAACTCAATGATAAGGACTGATTTTGAACAACAAAAAAGCCAGCAGAATACATAAAAATAAAAAAAATAGAGCACTAAGTAGACCATGAAAAAGATGTTTCTTAACTGTACAAGAGCTACAGAAAGAAGGCACCCTGCTGACTCTCTTGACTTCTTCTAGAGAAGCCTGTAGCTGGCAATTCGACGTCCTGCTGCTGCTGTGAACATCACTGAGACAGAAAATCCCCTAGAGGACTGAACCAGGTGTGACAAGTACATTTTAGCAAGGACATATTTGCTAAAATCGAATACATAAATATTGCCAGTCTATATTAGTAAGAGAGATATAACATGAGCTATTACTAGAAAAAAAAAAGGGTGAGGCATAATTAAAGCTTGCCAGAGCTTAGTAGTAAAAAGTTATACCAAGTCTCAATGGTGGCAGTAACGCTCTCCAAGTGAAAATTAGCTACTTCTGCTTATTTAGTAAACATCTGCTAAGAAATGTCTTTGATGCCGGCAGTACTCTACGAATTCTTTTCTGTTACCATAATAGAAAGATCTACAAATAGGGTTAGACGCAGCAGACTTTCAGGTGATCACTTTTACTTGTTCCTGTATGTTGTCTGTCAGTATGTAAATAACTATCGAACAACATCTAAGTGCAACGTCATAAATTAGTGACCTTGCCAAATTCAACGACAATAATAAGTGTCATTTCTGTCCCTGCAAAGCCCAGGAGCCAGCTGAGATGAGAAAGCTAGGAAACTCTGCGTTAGTACTGAGCTTTCTGTTGCAGGTCATGTTTAAATCAGGATGTGCATATTGCACGGCTTTACAAGAAGTAATTAATACTTTTGAATTGTTACTAATTCATTTTCAATGCTAGATCATAAAAAGGAGACTAGTTGACCTAGTCAGGGGATTAATATACTCAAGAAAGTATATTAGCAGCTACTTTATTAAACTTTAGGCAGTCCTATATATGGCAGTGTTTTTTTTTTTTTTCCTTTCATACATGGTCTCACGATACACTTCAGACTCATAGTGATCCTCCTGTCTCAGCCTCCTCAGCACAGAGATTACAGGCCTGTGCCACCACATCTGGTTTCAGGGCCGGCATGGCACACCCAGGGGTCCAGGGCCTACACAGCGTGCAGTACCTCAGATCGAACTTGGGACCTTGTGTTTGCCATGCAGGTATTTAGACAGCTGAGCTATCTCCCCAGCCTATAATAACAATTCTTAAATTGAGTATTCACTGTATACTGGATTCTGTTCATATTTTATATAACGTAACA